ACACATTGACCAATCCTAGTAGGTGCATAAAGCAGACCAATCGCAGGCAGGCTGCAGCCCAGGATGGGACAAAAAGCATCCCACATGGAACTGTTTGGGGCTCTCTCAGGAGATGGCCATTGCAGGGGCAAGGTGCAAACCCTTGGGAGACCATCAGGCCAGTCTGGTTCCTGGGGGCTCCAGGCTGGTTGCTGTGGAGTTCACTGGGTGAGATCCACATGCCTTTTATCATTTCTAAACAAGGTCTTTGCAATGACTAAATCACTAATTGTACAAAATTTTATTACTTGATCTCTAATCAATCAACAACATGTGTTATACAAACACAACCTGGCTTGCAGAAAGTGAAGACTCAAAGCCCTGATTGTAGACTGGGCAAAGGTCTTCAATATGGATGGCATTGCAACATCAAGGAAAAAATGCTCCCCACTGGACGAATAGGCAACATCATGATAGAGAAAAGACTGATGTCAAGGATTTTACTTGGATCCGTAGGCAACATCCATGGCTATGCTGCTGTTGTGAGTTGCCGTTAAGTCGAGTACACACTTGATAGCGATCCTTTGAACAGACCTGAGCCCTGTCCTCTCCTGTACCTCCTCACCATCTGACACGGTCGAGCCCACTGCTGCTGTCACGGTCAGTCCATCTTGTTGAGGGTCTTCCCTTCTTTCACTGACTCTCCACCTCTCGATATCCCTGTCCAAGTAATGTTGTTGTGTTCCTCGAGTAAGAACGGATCCCAAAGTGACCCTTCAGACGGCTTTCAGAGGCAGTAAACCGCACGGGAGATTGCTCAACCTTCTACCTCCTAAAAGCAAGCCAAATTATGAGACACAAAGCCTCACCATCCCTGCCTCCAAGGAGCACTCTGGCTGCACTTTTTTCAATACACATCTGTTCTCTTGGCCGTCCGTGGGATATTCAGTGCTCTTCTCCAACACCACAGCTCAAAAGCCTCAACTCTTCTTCCATCTTTACTACTATTTCTCCAGTTTATAGCAAGCAACTGAGAAGATCATGGCCGGAATCAGGAGCGCCTTAGTCTTCAAACGGACATCATTGCTCCTTTACATTGGTGAGGCCCCTGACAGTGGACTTTTCCAATGCATTATGTCTTATCTCCTGACTGCTGGTACCAAAGGTATGGATTGTGGATCCAATCAAGAGGAAATTGTTGACAATGCCCACCTTTTCTCCATCCGTCATGATGTCATCCGGTGGTGAAGATTTTTGTCTTCTTGATATTGACATGTAATCACTATTGAAGGCTGTATCCTTGATCTTCTGCAGCAAGCCTTTCATGTCCTCCCGGCTTTCAGAAAGCAAGGTTGTGTCATCTGCATAACATAGGTTGTTGATGAGTCTCTCTCTGATCCTGATGCCACAGTCTCCTTCAACATGGCAACTTAACACGCAGGCCCTGCTGGTGTGCAAGGTGTGCTCGCTCTCCCACAGTATCCGCAGTCAAGAAGCCAAAAGGCATGTGCATTGGGAAAGTCTGTCAGAGTGTAAAGAGCAAGGATGTCAGTTTAAAGACTACAGTGTGCCTCATCTGAGCCACGGTCTTTTCAACTGCTTCACGTGCATTTGAAAACTGGACAATAATCATGACACAAGAATTGGAAAGGTTCTGTAGTAGAATGGGACTGTCCTTGGGGTTGGGGAGAGACTGAGTAAGATGGGTTCAATAATGTATACTGCACTGAAACAGGAGGGAGAGAACCGTTTAAAAGAGAGATGTAACTGGGTATTTCTGTCATCACAGGAGACTAGAGCGAGGGCTGCATGGTGGAGGGGATCTGGGGGAGGGTTTGTAAAACAATGAAAGAATCTTTTCTTTTACTTTTCCATAATTTTTGGACTCATGTACTTATAACTTGTTAGTCAAATTTGTGTCTTCCAGGTTGCAACACCCCCATGATACATCTTCAAGGATATGTACATGTACAGTCAAGCACAATCAATAAGAGTGCATCTGAATTCCAAAATCAATCTCCATAATAGTCTATGTGTTTCCTACTGCCAAAGGGGCCTTTTAGAGTAGTGAGAGAAGATCTTCACCCTGAAACCCACAGCGTCCCTTTTCAGCAGGAAGTAGCTAAGAGAATACGCCGTCCCCTTTTCCTTATGACTCAGGGTGAAGTCTCTCTCAGGGAGGAGTGATAGGGAATGGCAAAGGACACACTGACAAAGAAGATTAATCAGAACTGGCTTTGACAAGCACTGTGGCATTTGGACAAGAACAAACTGGGAGGAGGGTAGAGAGAATAGTGCAACAATGAATGAGTGGCAGCCCAAAATCTCTGTAAATGTTTATGAAAATTAATAAAATATAATTATAGAAAAAAAAAGGGGAAAAAAAAAAGAATTGGAAAGGTTGAAGATCAGAGAAAGACAGGAAGACCCTGAACCAGGAAGACTGACAAGGTGACTGTAACAATGGAACTATTAGGGCTGCAGAGGATGGTGCAAGACAGGGTGGAGGTGTTCAGATCTGTTCACTGTGGGTGGTAGGTAGGTGACTCCACGGCACCACCAACCAGGAATGAGACTGTTAGCATAAGCCCTGAATCTCCTCTGGAAGCTAAGGAGGCCCCAGAAGCTGGGAGGCTCCCCCAGGGGCACTGGGGGCTATTCCCCTGCCCATGCTAGACCTTCTCACCCTAACCTGCTCCTTGTATTCAAAGTGAGAAGTAAATCTGAAACCACCTGGTGTTAAGAGACCCACAGGGCAGGGAGGGACTGCTCTGCCCTGTTTTGCTAAAGCGGTAAACTGAGGCGCCGTCCTTCCACACCCTCCCCACAGGTGGCATTTGAGAAGGTATCTGAGGCCCTTTGGGGGGGCTGCCGGACTGGGGTACCCCCTGCCTCCCTCTGTCCCAGGAGTGGCTCAAAGTATCATTTCTATGTGCTGACAATGAGCTTAGCGCGAGTCTGAATCATTCATGAGGGACCAGCTGGCTGGCGAGGCCTCAGGGTGGGAAGGGAGGGGAGTGTGCACTGAGACAGCCGCACACAGGAGACACCCTGTCATCTGGTGACCTGGGGGGGGGGGTGCTCTCCTCTGGATTTGGGAGCATGGCTTTAGGGGGGAAAGAGTTCTGTGCAGATCAGGTAAAGGGTTTTGAGGTGCAGAGTGCTTTCTGGACTGTCCAGAGGGCCACTGTAGTGACAAACCAAGTCAGTCCCGCGCCCCTCACAGGGAGCTGGACTTCCAAGGCTGTAAATCTTTACAGGACAAAAGGGTTCACCTTCCTCTGAAAGAGTGGCTGGTGGGTTCAAACCACCGACCTTAACCACTATACCACCAGGGTCCTTCCAAGAGGCTGAAATGAGGGTGATGTAGCTATTAGGTCTTCATACTGGATAAACGGCCAAGGACTCAATGGACCAGAGAGAAAGAGGGGAAGCTTACAGCAGCTTTACTAAGGGGGCTCCAGGTGGGATTCCTTGGTCTGCAGAGAGAGGCAGACCAGGGGGAACCACGCCCTAAGGTGAGTTGGGGTAGGTTTTTAGGGTCTTTAGGGAGGGACATCCATTGTGGGTTAACTAGGTGACTGCCCATGCTGGAGGTTGGAGATGCCACACTGCGACGGTGCCTGGGGTGTGGGAAGTCAGGAGCCCGGGACACCAGGACAGGAGCGGGATTTTATGGCGATGCTGAGGCTTCTGCCTGCGCTTGCAGCTTGGTGCCATCTCCAAGCTGGCTGCAGCCCCCATCCCTTGGGTCCAGCCAGGAGCCCACGGCCTCCCTCACTGCCCGGGCAGCCTGCGGGGAAGCTGGTGCGCCCTGGTCACGGGCCTTGGAGCGAAGGGAGACGAGCAGCTGGCCCTGGTGGCCCACTGCCCTGGCCAGTGCGTTCCTGATGAGCGAAAGGGGTTCCCTGGCCGGGCCAGCGCTCTGCGGGAGGTGTCCCGTGGAAATGGACGGCCGTCCCTAATCCCAGCTGGAATCCTCTGGCAGGAGTCCCGGCTTCCAGGCTCCTGGCCACGTCCAGCAGGGCCACTGCCCAGCCCAGGCCTTGAGAGGCAGGGGCCCGCCGCTCCCCGTGTCGGCCACTAGGCGAGGTCAGCAGGGGCGGCCCTACGCGCTGCCCGGTGCGCTGCCGTGCAGGCTTCCTCTCCCGCGCTGACCACCCACCTCCCAGCCTCACGTCCCCTCCAACACGCCCGGGGCCGCCGGATGACCCCCGGACGGCGCTAGGGTCCCCGGCCCGGGA